AAAAAAAAAAAAAATTCAGTCAAGGACATTCTCTGTAATACTCTTTCTAGTAGTAGAAAAATGAAAAATCAAAATGTCCAACAATGAGGGATAAGTTTAAATAAATTACATCTGTGCGACAGAATGTGAGATACTGTCAGTAGTGATAAGGAGTTATTGCTGGGCTAAACTGGCAGGTGGAAAAAGCAAGATGTGGAATAGACTATTAACAAGAAAAGGAGCAGGCTACAAGGAGGAGGATGGAATATTATATGCACCTAGACACACAGGTTATATCTGCCGGGACACAAAAGAAACCAGTAAGAGTGACCGCCTCTGGGAAGGGATGTCACGGACAGGTGCTAGAGAGCAGGCGTTTTCCCCTCACTGAACAGTGCAGCATAACTATCCTTTGGTTTTTAACCACATATATTATGTTCTCAACAAATAAAATCCACTGAGAAAATTTTAGCCATGCTCAAATAATAAAAAATAAAGAATGGTTTAGACAAAAGACAGTGTGTCCATACTAATAAATATTATAATTAGCGGCTAAAAAGAACACAGTAAATCTATGTGTATTATAGAACAGGCCCAAGTATTTTCGGGGGTAATGAAAATGTTCTAAAATTACTTGTGATGATGGATGCCCAACTCTACAAATATACTAGAAGCCACTGAACTATATGCACACTTTAAATGGGTGAATTGTAAGGCATGTGGATTCTACCTCAATAGAAGCTGTTAAAAATACCTACACACACACACACACACACACACACACACACACACACACACACACACCCATGGCTACACAGAGGGGAGGGTGAGTGAGGACACAGGGTTCAGAAAACTGTGGCCCACAGGCAAACTTTGGCCCACCATTTGTTTTTATGAAGTTTTATTTGCACACAGGCATACTCATTTGCTTCAAATTGTCTATGGCCACTTTCATGCTACCTACAAAGGCAGAGTGGAGTATTTATGACAGAGACAGTAGGGTCTGCAAAGCCTAAAATATTTCCTATCTGGTCTTTTACAGGAGTTTGCCAATCCCTTATTTAGAAAAAATCTTAAGTTGTACAGTTCAGCAGAAAACAACTGCAGAATACCATGGTCAGTACAATATCATTTTATGTTCTAAAACCACACACAACACAATATGACATATTTTCTGTAAGTATAATTAACAATATGAGGAAATTATCCCAAACTCATACCTATGGTTACTTCTGAGAGGGGCAGGCAGAAAGGATTGGGAGTTGGGCAAAGGTGGGAGTTGGCTTTATTTGTGATTTATTTGAAAACTGTTTTATTTAAGGAGACACAGTAATGTTATTACCTGAGTAATTGACTTTTTTTTTCCCCTTAGTTAATTGCTTAAAAGCAAGGCTGGCAGAAGCAGAAAGCAACAGGACTAGGTTGTCAACTCTTGGGGTCACCTGGGTGGCTCAGCTGACAGAGCGTCCAACTTCAGCTCAGGTCATGATCTCACAGTTCATGAGTTCAAGCCCCGTGTCAGGCTCTGTGCTGACAGCTCGGAGCTGGGAGCCTGGAGCCTGTTTCAGACTCTGTGTGTGTGTCTCTCTCTCTACCTCTCCCTGCTTGCTCGCTTGCACTCTGTCTCTCTCCCTCTCAAAAATAAATAAACATTAAAAAAAAAATGTCAACTCTGATCTTGGTAAGCACTGCCAGAATTTTTCAGATCCTATGGCTTTCAATTTCCCTGATCTTTCTCCTGTTCCTCTCTGTATTTCCCCTTCATCAACATCAGGACTGAGGTTTCTAAAGAGGAAGGTGAACTGAGGGAAGAGCCAGGGTGGCAGGAGGGAGGGAGGACAGCTACACAGCAGGCATGGGACAGCGAATGGCTGGGCTGTCAACGATCCACCGTTTCAGGGATTTAGTTGCTGTTATGGAATCCCTGGGGTGTGTGAAGACCCGGGGTCCCAGGCTTAGCATCGCCCTGCAATTAGTTCCCACTCACAGCCTCCATGTCCCTAGTTTCACGTAATTCACACGACCTTCAAGAGAACCCTGGGACTTCTCAAGTTTTCTGTACTTCAGGTGGGTTTACAAGGCTGACTCATCTCATAACATAGCACACCTTAAAACAAAACCAAGTGGTTGTCAAAGAGCAGTGCAGGCCCCGGAAGGGGCATGTGTGGAACCTGAGTCCCAAATAAGCTGCTTTACACCATAATTTACAAAGATAACATGGGTATGAATACAGAATACATCTAGCCCATCTTTGGAAAATTAAGAAATTCAACTGGGGAAAAAAGTAAACTAGTCTGGGATAATTATTAGTTATTATTATGGAAACTGTTAACTATGGGAATGCACAGATTTTCAAAGCAAAAGCATAAAATGTCAGATGTCGTTCCCAAATGTGTATATTTATACACAACAAGACCTCAGATAATCTATCTTCTAACATACAAACTATGTACAGACCTGGAAAAGGCAGGAGCTCTAAAACAGTAATAAAAGATGCCATCCAAAAGTTTTTTTTTAAAGAGGTAACTTCAAAAGATAGGACTTCATTAAGGGCATGACACTTAAAGGGACCCCTGCTAGGTCTGTTTGCATGAGCAATTATCAAACGGGAAACTTGTGCAACTCTCTAATTGTGGGTACCACAACCACTTCTGCTTCCGAAACAGAAGCAGCCGGACAACATGGAGGGCTGCTTTTACTTGAAATGACCCAGGAAAATCTGGCTATGTATAAATACAGTTACAGGCAGGGGAAGCACATTATATTCACCAAATTGTGCTTTAAACAATCTGGTTTTAAGCAAAACGCAGCACACCTGCAACAAATCTTCACAAAGGAGAGAATAAGAAGGTGGGTATCAACCAAAGGGAAGCATTAAACATTATATACATGTACACACATATTTAAACTAAATATAATTTAAGTTTCTCCTTGACAAAAAAGGTTTGTTTCCAGAAAACTCACCTCCATGTTCTAGAAATACTCGAACACATCTTTCCTTCCCTCTTGCTGCAGAGAAATGAAGAAGGGTCCAGCCATTAGCATCCCGGCCATTTGGAGAATAGCCTTGTTCTAACATCTTTCGTACTGTGTGAACATCCCCGGCAGCCACTGCAGCCTGAATCTGCAATTCTTCCTGGAGTTCAGGGTTCCTTCGACAATGGTGGTGTAACATCCTAGCTGAGTCCACTTTTTACCAAGGATTCATTAGGTCACAGGGAACAGCCTTTAAGGGCAAGTAGAATATGTGAAATTTAGAATACTTGCTCCTCACAGTGTGTCTATTAAATAGCACAGAATTTTCCCTTGTTAAATCATGTAAATCTTAGTCATGACAGTTCATCCTACTACAACTAATTAATATGCACCTCTTATAACCGGAACTTTGGTAGCTTCCCAAAGATTATAAAAGATTTCAAACAAAAAGCCAGGCATAATGCCTTAAGTTGCGGTTACAGGACATTTCTTCTGTAGTCTTTTGAAAACTCAAAGCAAACATCCTATGAACATAGCAGCATTATTTTAGGTATAATGGAAGGTGATGCTGGGCAGCCAGAAAATGGGAGACAACAGAGTAGTCAGGTGAGTGCTTGTCTTAAGAGTTTGATTTCCCTGGGGCACGGTGGGGGGGGGGAGGGTGATCAAGGCCTCAGTTGGTTAAGCATACCTCTCCACTTTCAGGTCATGATCTCATGATCTGTGAGTTCGAGCCCCCCGTTAGGCTCTGTGCTGAGCTCAGAACCTGGAGCCTGCTTCAGATTCTGCACCTCCGTCTCTCTCTGCTTCTCCTCCACTCATGCTCTGTCTCTCTTTCTCTCTCTTGTAAATAAACAAACATTTTAAAAAATTTTTTAAAAAGAGTTTAATTTCCCTAATGCATGCAGTTATAAACCATTCAAGGACTCGATCACAGATCAGTGAGTGAATGCAGGGTATCAAATGGTCAATTCATAGCCTATGAAGATTAAAGACTAAGAGAAGCAGTTCAAAAAAAAAAATGAAAGACTTTAGATGAGTCCCCTAAAGTATTTCAATATTTTATTTTTAGCCCCAAAGGGTGAAAGGTTTGGGGAAAGAAGTGCGTGGGGTAAAGTAAAATGCATAGAGAGTATGCATTTTCCTTTTGTTTGTTTCTTTCTATCCTCCCCACTTTGTTATTTGATGCATGATTTACCACCCCTCTTTTTCTGCCACGTTATCTTTTCTACTTTTCTAATTTCAGTTTTCTAAAAGTTTTACTCTAATTGGCAAAGGACCAAGATCACACAAAATATCTAAAAACTCTAAGAATCAGGCGGTTCCAGGAAAGAATATCAAGTTACATCTGATTTTGGCTCAGGTCATGATCTCACGGTTCATGAGTTTGAGCCCCTCTTCGGGCTCTCTGCTGTCAGCGCAGAGCCCACTTCGGATCCTCAGTCTGCCCCCTCCCCTCTCAAAAACAAATTAATTTAAAAAAAGAAAATGTAGAAAATCCAAGTGAGATTAAAAAAAAAAAAAAAAACCTGTAAGAATCGAAACAACACCACATGAAAAAAAAATCATTTTAAAGAAAAAGTAGTGTCCTGGACTTCTGCACCCTCTAACAGGTCACAAAAGAGGTGTGCACTCAGGCTCAATACAAAACGAGATCTCCTTCATGCAAAGAGGAAAAAGTCCAAAGTGAATTGTGAAAAGTGGCTCTTACATGTGTGTGTACAAAAACTTTTTCAGTGGGTTTTTAAGCTTTACAGAAGCTTACAGAAGCTTAAACTAACACGCTTCTAAGAAGCCATTCCATCTGGGCTAATTTTAAGGAATAGATTAGACTCATCTCCTAATTAGGCGGCTTCCATTTCTAAAAATAAAAAATTATGTGATAAAGTCCTTTAAAGACATTTTGGTCTCCTATGTAGGTTAGACATCTTGGGATAATCTTGTTACCAATAATAATTTATCTTGCAAAACCTCTTGCTATAGATTGTGCAAAGGTAAACTTAAGCCTGACCTAGGTCAAATCATCACAGCTTAAGAATACAATCAAATGTCCTATGTTGTTTCATAAAGTGAAAATGGTTATTTCAAACTCGTATTCCTATTAAGTAATATAATTTAAAAATATCAGGCTACTATTACAAAGAGCTATCTCCTCAGAGAAAATTTGGAAATGAGAAATTTCCTGACAATTTGTCTCCTTAATAAACATGATTTTCTCCCTTATCCCTTTGCTTAATTACTTTTTCAATCAACACTATAAAACTAAGTCTCTCATCTTAAAAACGACCAAGAACCCTTTTGGAATAGCTTTCTGTGTATTTTTAGAGTTGTAAGCAAAGACACTGAATACCACTGGAAGAAATTAATGAAAACTACTACTATATGCTCAAAATCAGTTTTAACAGATTTTTTTTTTTTTTAAATGAGACCATTATCTTGGCTCTTAAATGAGGTCTACTATGTAAGATTCAAACAGTATAATAAATAAACAAACAAAAACCTGGATTTTCTTTTAGCAAGTGTTGTGTTTAGTATATGTTAGCTGCTTTGAAGGGAAAAGCAAAAGCTATATGGATTTTCCTCCCCAGAACTGCACAGATGACCAATAACCTTCAGTCACTTACCTTGTGGAAGAATGTCCCTTCTTCTGATACGTGGATTGCCTAATAACCATTGTGCACATACAGCATTGTGAGGAGAAGGCTCAGAGTGTGTCCAGATTGCAGCGTGATTGAGCTTTCTTAACCTAAAAACAAATACCAATTATGGGAAGATTCCTAAAAATAATAAAAAATCAGAGATGCCTACACACTCTACCTTTCGATGAGCTTAAATTTTAGTGCTTTCTATCAAACTTCCAGAGCAGAGAAAGAACTCAGGTCAGTTCTTAGAGAAAATGATCTTGAGACTTACATTAATCTCCAAACTGGTACAGGATATGGTGTATTTTCAGGATTTTTTTTCTTAAAAGGGCAGTTTTTTGAAAAAGAGTAAATTAAAAAAAAAAATCACACATTTGAAATTCAGATGCAAGTACAGGTTCCTTTTATCTTATTTTTTGCTCTATTCAGAATATATTTTCAGGCTTGCTTCATCTGAATTACTTTTTAACTGACACTGTTAGGCGTGTGCTCTTTTCTAAACAGGACAAAAATGAAAGTATGTGTTCATTCAATATAGTAGGTGGTCAGGGCCAAAATGGAATCTATGACAACCAAAAGGAGAGTATATCTTTAAATGCTGGTTCTTCATATGCCCTAAAAAGCATTATGTTAATCATTTTGAAATGGTTATTCCTTTATATATACATCAAACTGCGTAAAAGATTAACAACATCCTTGCCAGCTTCCCTATATGAATTCTGGAAAAATCCTCTCTACAATTGAAAGAAAAAAAGGATCTTTCTTCATATAGATTAAACCCTAGGTCTATGAACTCCATTAAGGTTAAGAGCACATGCTAAGTGACTTCCACACTTTATGCTCAAATCACTCTAGAAATTACTCACTGGGAGAACTACTACCCCACCCCATCCCAGTAGGGTAGGTATGCTAAGCCCTCCATCACTTAAACAGGAAAGGCTGGGCTACCTGAAAACCTACAACCTGACGTACTATGGGGAAGAGTGGCAGTCCTAGGTGCCGCTGGTTGCACACCAAAATTTACAACCAATCCACATCAGTATATAGTCCACTTTGACCCTTTCCTTTTTCCAAGTCCAAAGACTTGGCCAGCACACACTTGGAAACAGTATTTAACTTAAAACTAACTATCATTTCTTAAAAAAATGAATTAGAGAATTAGACATGATCAGAACAACTCCTACAAGGCAAGCTGCAAAAAATGCAGAACTATCCTTACAGAGATGCCCAATTCTGAGAGTGGGGCAGGAAATATACAATATGAGCCTGGAGCATCTCACTGTGCCAAAAAGGAAGTGCTCAAAGAGAAATGCAGTGATGGGGGAATGTCACAGGAACACGGGCCAACCACAAGAGCTCTTAGTAGCTAAGCTGGAACAACTTGAACAAGATAAATATAAGTGGTATGGATTCTAACCCAAAGTCTAGAATAAATACCAACAGGCCCATAATGCTCTGATTGAATAAATAAAGGATGGAGCAGAAACAAATCTCCTGTACAGAATTCCATATAATTGCATGGATCCCCCCTACTCAGGGAGGTAGAGCATAACTCCCTTCTCCTTTAGTGTGGGCCATGTAGAGATTTCCTTCCCATGAGGACAGCATGGAAAAGGAGGGAAAGAACAACTTTACGGCAAGAAACCTGAAAAACACCGCCTCAGCCTGGTGATCGTGGTTAACAGGCAGCAGTGCCAAGTCACGTGACAAGCATGGAATGAGGAGAATGGCAATTTACTGTGGTGATCTTTCTCTCCAAAGCCCATAACCCCCACCTAATCATGAGAAAAACACCACACAAATTCCAGCTGAGGGACATTCTACAAAATACCTGACCAGTACTCCTCAAAATGTCAAAGCCATCAAAAACAAGGAAGTCTGTGGAATTGTCATGGCCAAGAAGAGCTTATGGAAGCAAGAAGGCTAAATGTAATGTGGTATCCTAGATGAGATCCTGGAACAGAAAAAGCATATTAGGTAAAAGCTAAAGAAGTATGAACATGATATGGATTTTAATTAATAATAATGTTCATTGTTGGTTCATTAATTGTGACAAATCCATCTATTAATATAAGCTGTTGGTGGCAACTGGGTGTGGAGTATATGGGAATTCTGTACTGTCTGTGCAATTTTTCTGTAAATCTAAAACTATACTAAAATAAAAATTTGTTTAAAAAATGCAAACCGAGGTCTCCAATGATAAGCCTCCAGCATTTTCCACAAATGAACAGGTGATTATTTTCCACATGAGCTACATCTACATTGCAAAAATCAATGGCACTGACTGCCTTACTTCTAAGGGTGTCCTTGGTATCCCCCGCCTCCCAAGAGAAGCGGAGATAGCTCTCCATGGTTTCAAGCCTTTAGGAATCTTGTTCTTAGGCCTTCTATCTACCCATCGCCCCTTCCATGGAGGCAGAGGGGGTAAGTGCGGAGGAGGGCATGCAAAGTGGGGGTTGAGGGGAATATGAAATGGTACTGATTTATTAATAATATCAAGAAAAGGCTTTTTGTTAAAGGATGAAGTGACTATTTCTCTGAACAAGAAAGATGCACA